CTTGCTACAAAATTATCAAAAATGTAAACCTTTTGGAACAGGCACATTTAATGTGCCGACTTGTGTGTAGCCGCAACATGTTGCCGAAAATAAGATTGAAGATTTAATTTGCTTTCGCTTCCAATTTTCTTAGTCATTATGGATCAAGACTTCTGAGCAGTCCAAATTCCTGCTCTTGAATATATTACATACTAGGTGTACCCGCCCGGCGTTGCCCGTGCATTTAGAAAATGCAGATAAGTGAATAGCGCAGGAATAGTAGTGTAGGACATGTAGACTGTCTCTCTCTCTTCCCCCCCCACAAGCTACAAAAAAGAAATGAATTGTAATTAATCGATTTAGTGTATCGTCAAAACAGAAAACTAACGCTAGAATAAAGAAATCAATTGTTACAATCGAACGTTATTTGAAAAACAAATAATAATAATCAGTGAGTCAAAAAAAACCGTGATTAATTAATTATAAAATAATTTTTTTAAAATTTTTCTAATTCAAAAATCGAAAATCGGGCTTTGAGGTCTGGTGGCCAGCCCCTTTGTGCTTCCGTATAAAAAATTCCAGGTCCCTGCGTGCGATAGATTTGGCTGGAGAGCTCGGTCAGACAGACAGACAGACACATTACTCTTGCTTTTATTATTATAGATACAGTAAACTCTCGCTACAACGATACCCGATACAACAATAACTCCCTCTACTACAATAATGTTTTGTGGTCCCGGTGATTTTGCATATAAACTAATGTTAATCTCCCCTCAATATTGCTATATTCTCTAGAACAATAAACCTCTGTAAAACGATTTTTTCAATCTAAATTTTAGTATTATTTTCTCCCTTTATAATAATATTTTGATTTTTCAAATGCTTTTTTTTTTTTTTTTTTTTTTTTTTCGTTTTCTTTTGTTATTTTTTCCGTCTATTAAGACTCATTGTGGATATTCAACTTATCCCTGAATAAATAGCTATTGTTCAGATTTCAAAACAGATGAAGACCCCCTTTTGGGAATTGGAGTGGGTGAGGGGGGGGTGAAGTGTAAATGTATGCCTAGTCTCATTTCTCAGTAAGCTTTGGAATTCTGATAAGGTTTAAGGGACATCTAGACCTGTCTGGTCACCTTGTCACAGAACAAGTGCCCTTTGTTAGAGGAACAGGGGAGATGGAGGCGGGGTGTTGTTAAGTGACGTACTGAAAAAGTGAGTTCAAAGATTGTTTTATAGTCTTTTTTAACGATTTTGAGTTCTACGCGAACATTTGGTTTTAAAACTTTTCTTTCTTTCACGCAATATTGTTCCCTAAGATGGCAGGGCGAAAGCAACTAACTATCTTTTCGAGATAAAACTGAACGTTTATCAATGATATTGATGAGGGAATGAAGCAGATTGATGCGGCTAAGAAACATGGATTATCGCAATCTACAGTTGCAACGTTCCTAAAGAAGAGAAAGCAATCGAAAATGCTTGTAACTTCAAATGAAATTAACCCAGAGCGAAAAACGACTGAAAGTTTGCGACAAATGAAAACATTGATGCTGCTGTTTTTAAAATGGTTTTGTTTTAAGAGATGAGAGCAACATATGTCCCAATAAATGGACCTTTATTATGTGCAAAAGCACGGAAATTTGCAGCAATGCTAGGGAACGAAACTTTCAAAGCTAGCAATGGTTTGGTTAATGCGTTTTTTTCGAGATCGTCATGGAATAACTTTTCCAAGAAGTTCACGGAGAGAAAAAGTCAGCCCCGATAAACGACGCAAATGAATGGCGGCTAAACAAGATGAAAGAAATCTTAGAAAAGTATGCTCCAGAAGACATTTATAATGCAGATGAAGCTGGGCTGTTTTTCCAACTCCTACCCGACCGAACATTGGCATTCAAGGGTGAAAAGTGTTATGGAGGGAAGAAATCAAAGCATAGACTGACTGTTCTTCTGTGTACAAATAGCACAGGAACGCATAGAATACAACCTCTCGTTATTGGTAAATCATTGAAGCCAAGGTGCTTTAAGAACGTGAAAAGTCTTCCCGTGGAGTACAAAGCAAATAAGAAGGCTTGGATGACGTCTAAATTTTTTTTTTCCCCGAATGGTTACAGAAGTTAGACAATGAAATGAAGAAGAGAAAGAAAAAAAATCGTTTTTGTTGATAGATAACTGCGGTGCTCACACGTCATTTCCAAAGCTACAAAATATCGAAATCGCTTTTTTCCCTGCCAATTGCACTTCAATTTTACAGCCTCTTTGATATGGGCATAATTACATGCTTCAAAGGATATTACAGAAAACGGTTGGTGGACTCCATACTAGTAAACTTTGAAAATAAAGCAGAAGACCCTTTCAAAGCTGTAAAATGTCAAGGAAGCGTGTGACAATATGTTGGAAGTTGGTGGGAAGTAAGTACAGAAAAAAAAAACCATTCGGAATTGCTGGAAAAAAAAGGCCTGGTTTTGTGTGTTATGGAAGATATAGAAATCTGATAATGATGAAAATTCCATAGACAATGATCTCTCAGATGATCAAGAATGTGTTTTGCACATAAAAAAAAATCCGTATCCCAACTTGAGGAAACAAGCGGTAAAAAGTTTGGAATTAGTATAGAAGACTATTTAACAGCAGATGATGATCTTATGGTTTTTCGCAGGAGTTACTGATGAAGATATTCTCTCTCTGAAAATTACTGATGAGATAGGAAAACATGATGAAGATGATGATGATATTGATGATGATTTGATAATACAGGTCCATCGCAATCCTTATTGTCATCCCAGGAAGCTCTTCAATCTGTGAATTCTCTACGGACATTTTTTTCAAGCCTTCCGTCGACAAATGAAGAACATTTTCGTGCACTAGACTTAATGCATACAGTATTGGTGAAATCAATAAACAAACAAAAAAAAAAAAAAAAAAATCTGAAATGTTTCAGATTTTAAATTACGTCCAAAGGGGCGTTTTTTAACATTTTGTGTGTTACCTTTCTTTATTAAATATCATGTTCCTCGCACTTAAACCATAAGATCCAGTGCAACAGCAATATCGCCAAAAATAGTTTTTAAAACGAGGCATATCTTTTAGAATTTTCGATACAGAGACTCACGCGCTGGAGATAAAAAATGTATTTTCTGCACAACGTTGCCATTGCTCGCTTTGAAATCCTTGAGTTTGTTAATCAAAAATTCGTCAAAGTTTTAAAAAATAGGAAATCGATCACAAAACAAATTTCAAATTTCAAATTTGGTCTTCCACATGCTCATATTCGTTGGAGGATTACGTTATTCAAAATTCGATGACTCTATGTACCGTTGTTTTATCACAATACGAGAAATATACATACATTTATGCAGATTTTTCATTATTTAATTTCTTCAAATATAATGCAGGACTCTAACATTTTGTGGCAACAGTTTGAAAAGTGAACCGACATTTATGAGTCCGACGCAAAATGCCAAACGAAACTAATAGTCCTTCGGGATTCAAATCCCTTTGGACTAAAAATATTGGATTATTTTCAATAAAAAGTGTTTTCAGGTATGTGAATATTTCTGTGCTTATTTTCTGAATTTATCTTATTTATTTATTTTTTTAGTATTTAAACCACTATTATTAGTATTTTTACAAATTAATTTCTTCTAAATATAGACTTAAAAGTAGTATGTTATGCACCTTAAACTAATAATAATAATAAAAAAAAACTCTTATTAAATGCTCAAAATATGTGGGCCCTCGATATAACAATATACCTCTCTACAACAATATATTTATTTGGTCCCTAAAATATTGTTGTAACGAGGTTTCACTGTATATATATATCGAAGTATTTTAGATTTTATATGTTAAATCGCTTTCGATTTATCATCGAGACAGTGAATTCTACACTTCTACACTTATACTCAGCTAAATTTTCTTTTCAATCTAATTACACAATTACAGTACTTTCAAAACATTGTAAAATACATGTATTTTACCATGTGTTTACCTCGTTTTTTAAGTTAGTTTAATCTTTTCAAATAATTTTGCAAGTAACCACTTAAGATTTTTTTTTCGATTTGATACTGTTTGAAGCATTATTTGAAAATCCTTGCTTAAAAATAACTCAGCATATTTTGCATCTGGGGTCACTACCAGAGAGTGTGTCTACCTGTGAATTTCTCCTTCCCGAGACTTTTTTAATTTAACTTCTTATAACAAGTGATTTTACTTTTTTACTTGAAACCTTGTGTGATTTCGTATTTTGTACCAAATATTATGCGAAAACATCAGTTGATGATTATCGGTAGAAGCTTTGTACGATGAAGATCAAATATCCAAAAAGTTAGGAAGACGATGACAAAATTCATAGAACAATCATATAATTCCGCAAGCTGATGTTGTTCTGAAGAGGTTAAGGATTTAATTTTATGAATACCTTTAAAATGATACTTTTCATGATCACAGCCATCATTACTGATAGAAGATTTTTTTAAAATAAAAGTTGAGTTGCATTTCATTAAACAGTGAATCAAATTTTAATTTGAAATATCCATCGCGGACTTCTGACTGTTAATATTTCTGGAACCCCAAGAAGTTCGCAGACCTCAGTTACAGAATCGCTGATGTAGCATTTCAATTTATTTATAAGATGGTCTAATATAACAGGTTTACAGTGCTAAAGTATTTATACGCACTACCAAGTATTAGTTATAAAAGCTGTAAACGTGGAAATAGGGCCCAATTTTTTGGCTTATTTTATCAAAACTGGAGGCATGGGGAAAAACCTCTTGTAGATGATTTTCCTCCTCTAATTATTTTCAATATCTATATTAGAAAAGTATCACCAACACGAACTCCATAAAATAAAGTAAGTTTATATTATAGCAAAATCTGATTGTACAAATTAGTGTTATTATTTAAACTGAGGCAATCAACAACTCAACTTTCAATGCAAATCAAATGCAACTCAACTTTCCTAATCAGAATGAAAAACAAAGGTCCAGTGTCTGTTTTTTGAAAAATGAAATAAAAAACTAAAATGCTAAATTAGTGTTTTTCGCGCTTATAAACTTGAATTAAAAATATTATTTAGAATTTTACATGTTTTTAATACATCAGAAAGATTTCGAGAGCCCTTGAAAATGGAGATTTGGGGTACATGCCCCATTTGCCTTTGCATAAATCAATCCCTGTTTGTTAAGATTCGAAATACTGAAGGGTCGAAGCAGCGCGATTAATTCCATTCTCTTTCGATGGATTTTATCTGTTTTATCTGAAGTCTTGTTGATAAGTTATCATCACACTCTCTTCAGGCCTTCTGTTCCACTCTGTCCTGTGCATTCGCAGAGCTGGCATCAACGGACAAATGCGGGATGGCACTTCTGAAGCCTTTTGCCCATGCAAGATTGCAAGTCTCAGACTTCAACGTTAGTAATTGGGATTTCTCGAATCATACCAACCTATGGATAAAACTGCCGTCTCATGAAATAGCCCTGAAAGTACTGGCACTCCTACCCATTATGCTGTTAGGAGTAGTGGGTAACATAGCGATCATAGCTGTCGTGATACGGATTAGGGTAAGGAATATTCTGTTTCTTTTATTCGTTTCTTGTAGTTGTCCCTAAGATTTCGAGCTTTAGATGAACATTTATATTTAAGATGATTTTGATGATTCCGCTATTATTTTGACATTTTAACTTAAAACTGTTCTGTGTGATAAAACATGATAATTTCATTTTAGATAAATAATGAGGTTTAACTTTTGTGTAGTGTTACTGAACCACACGAAAAGTTTATTTTAAATCCCATCGAAATAAATAAAATAGAACAAGTAATAATTTAATTCTTTACTAGCATGTTTGGTACGCATTAGAATGGTCTTTGAAATTTCAACGTTATGCTATCTAAGCAAAATATATGAGAGGAATTAAAAGAAAATATTCTGAAATTAAATTTGAGAAACTGGAATATGAAATTGTAACTTCTTCCATATTTAATTTTGGACTTTTTTGTGCATTTTCAAATCAATGCAAAATACAGATTTTTTTTTTTTTTTTGGTGTGTATGTGTGTGTCCTTTATTTGTTTATTATTAGATGTAGTATTTCATTTGTTCAGTTTTCAAGTTTATCTTTTGAAGCCGATAACATAGGTATCAACTACGCTATTACTGATTATAAATAAGCAGTTTGATTTATATATCCTGTTGCAACTAATACATACCTTGTCTTATAAGCCATCCTCTTTTCTAGTTTAAGTAAAAAATATTTATTTAAAATGAAGAGTTTGATACATGTTTGAAGAAATTGTAAATAAGAGTTTACAGAAATAGAAGGATTCATGGCAAATCATTATTGCAATTGTCATTATAGTCTAGCTAATAAAAATTTTAAATAGTTTCTAAAATTGAAGTTACGATCAATATGAGGGAAATGTACTTAAACGCTGCTAACTGATAAGTCAGTTTCAGTCAATCAACTAAGTCAACTAGTTTCAGTAATTTCAGTCTGCTAACGAGATGATTTCAGACTTTTTGGGTATTTCATTTGTTTTCAGAATATCTATGCTTAAATTAAAAATTAATCCCTTGATACAACCAAGTATGGTTGTATGTATGCATTATGCTGCCTTGCTTTGTAAACTTTTCTGGAACCACGCAATTTAAAGCATCAGCTTATTTAAATATTTAAATAACTTAGAATTTTTTTTCGGTAATTGCTTCATTCGTCTTCTCATGATATCATTTCTTTTTATTGGAAAAATTCTTAACACCTGATTTCAAGTTCCCGTTTTCCCATTATTTCTTATCTTTTAATATAAATAAATTTTTCATTAATATGTAAAATTCACAGATAAGAAGGGTATTGAGTAAGGATTTATTTACTTTCAATCCTGTTGCGGAAACCTGTAACTTTTTCCGTCATTCCTTCATTGATATGAAATAGGTAATATTATGCGGATGCAAGATAAACAGAGCTGTGACTTTTTTTTTGGGTAACATTTCATCACACAGTGATCTTTTGTATTGAATTACTCGATACACTTTCATGTTGCCATCCATATTTATACTTTATTAAAAATGAATAATTTTAAAATATTTTCGAATCATATTTTTTAAATGAGATTAATATAAAAAAGAAAAAGAAAATATGCTTTTCTTAATAAGTAAAAGTTTTTAAATAAAGCAAAATTTGAAATCTGCATTTAGTGAAAACAAATTTAAGAACACGATATCCAAAAGTATAATTATATTTATCAAGAAGATATAAATGAAATTTAGCTAATGAAGTTCATAATTAAAACGCTGGAATCTTGAGATTTATTTTCTCCATGAACTTGAGTAAACTATTCGGATAACAATTCAGACTTCAATACAGCCATGGCTGAATATTTCAACTGGAAGGTAACTCGGGTCGTGTGCGCGAAACAGCTTTTATTTAAGCGGGATGTGAGTTGTTAGAAACATCAAAGACCTATTAGTAGTAGGTTATCTGTGTTCAGAACTGTTGAGAAAGTTCGAGATGATTCAAAGAGTACGACACTTAGCTGTGAGAATTTTCGAGAAAGCGTAGCCCACCGATTACTTGATCATTCCGTGCAGATTTCGTTAAATGGCAAACTGAAACAAGAAGCTGGTTTGTATTACTCTTGGTAGTGTTGGTCATGTTACCAAATGAAATTGCAATAATGTTTTTGTTTTCTATAAACCTTTCTACCGGACGTCTATAAAACTAATCTTTCCAAAGTTCGAATTAAAAGGTGTAATAGGTTTATTGATTAGAATTCCGAAGATCCGGATCATGGAAAAACGCGAAGACTTTAGTTTTTGAATCTTTTTAGGAAGCTAACATTCGAATGCTGGTCTGATTTGAGCATTCGAATGTTGCATCCCTACAAATTGTTTTACCGATTTCGCTTAACATGTATGAATTAAAAAATAGGGCGTAATTTTTTATTTGTGAAAGTTGTTTGAAAATGTTACAGAATGTTAGACATCATATTCAACTCCAGTGTAGTAAGAAGTTTTCAACTATTTTTAGATTATGTGAGAGCTAAATCCTTAATATCCTCAGTGCTTAAATTCGGCTTCAGTTCTTCTCAGCTTTTGAGAGAAAATAGAACTCCAAAGAAGTGAGCCAGAGCACGGAATAAGATGAAATCATCCTTTTTGTTATGCCTCTGAAACGCAGTATTAATGGAAAATTAATGAAATTAACGCAACGTTTCTGGCAGAAATTGCTGACATCAGTATCGATTAGCATACGCCTCACTTTCCACGGCAAGAGCAAAAACATATAAGGTACCTTCACGAGTTAGGAAAAAAGGATTCCACGTTGAAATATAAAACATTAAAATGCGGCATATTTTGGGGCTGTATCATCCAGTCAAGATAAAGGGATAAGTAATAAAAAAAATCCGTGATTTTATTTAACTGCGAAGAGTACAGTTCAAAGTATTCACTTTCTTTTTATGCTATGGGTAATGCCGGGGATGCGTTTGATATTCAAGTATTAAAAAGAATTGTTATTGGTAAAACTAAGGATTTCTATTATGACTGCTGAAGAGAAATGGAACATTTCGGGAATAAGGAAAGATTATTTGTTGAACTTTTCTAAAAATATGAGAATGATATGTGATTTTGATTACAATCGAATAATTACTGGGCACGGGCGCTCCCCGGCGTACAAAAGATTTAATTTACAAAATAATAGTCTTTGTAATTTTTGTAGTGCTGAAGGCAATGCCCGACGTTTCGTCGAAGACTGTGCATTATTGCGACGTGTTAGGGAAACACGTCGTAACATAACGGAATTCTACTGCCGCAATAAAGAGTTTAGATTTGCAAAGGATTTGATGAAATTTATAAACGGCGACAGAACAATACTGGGGATTCTGGTTTGATGTTTTTGACTGTAGTTCTGTTTAAATATGTGTTTTAATCTTTTGTTTTAATATTTTAACTATATTTTTATTTGTCTATGTTGGGTGTGCTGCGTTAACCAAGAGGCCGATTATTATCGGCCAGGAGGGTTGCAGTACATTCGTATACATTATAGTATTACATCCTCTCCATATGGAAAGAGATATTTTATTTTGCTTATATTTCATTTGTTATTTTATTTCATTTAATGTTTATGAGGCACGCTTATTTCATTTAATATATTATTTATGATGAATTTGTTTATCAATGTTTTATATGTTCTTTTGAATTTTAATTGGTTTTAATTTCATTAGTTGTTTTATTTATTTATTTTTGGTCCCCAATCCTGTCACTTTTAATTTTGGAATTTAAGCCCTAAATATCATCTCAACCTTTGAATTTACGTTTTTCAAACCTCGTGTCACTACTTTCTGCTTCGGAAATCCTTTTAACCGTATGATAGATGGCAAGAGCATTCGCAATCTTCAAAAATCAGTATTGCTGTATATGAAAGATTTTTGGAAAAGTCGGGTTTCTGAAAAGATTTTCGAAAAATAGCAGTGTCATCAAAATTTTATATAATATGGTAAATGTAACACAATATTTAGATAGTACGTTAAAGTTTACTTGGCAGTGCGTCTACTTGTATTATACCAAAAAATGTTGTTACTAAAGGAAGGCTTCTTTCTGCAGATTGCCATGCGCATATCGATTCTTCCCGATCTAAAGATCAAAGTGGAAGAATCAACTCCATTCTTCATGAGCGCTTTAGTTTAAGGAAGTAATTATCTTCGTGGGTGCTTTCCAAGTTGTTCTGTTACCAAGCCAGGAGAATGGTGAAAATTTTCGTTAAAGATGATGAAAGGTGAAAAATGAAGTGTTTGAAAACTCGTAATAGCCGACTAAATCTGGATATATACAGGGGTCAAGGCAATGAAACTAAAACATTTGCTACTAGAGTGTTTGTGGGTGCTCTCCATCTTTTTATTAATAAGCAAAGAGAGTAGTAAAACCTTTCAATGAAAAAACTTGAAAGATGAAAAAAATAGAAATGTGTTTGAGAACTCATTAAAAACAGTTGACTAAATGTGGATGTATATAGTTTATAGACATCCACAGTAACCAAACAGTAGCAACGTTTTTGTTACCAATCCTCAATTAATTCGTCTCCATGATAAAGAAACTAAAACATCTGCAGCTAGAGTGTGATATTTTATTAATTTAGCACCTGTCACCTTTTGGAGACCATTACTGTTGCGTTTCGTTTTGGAAATGCCGATACAAATCTGGTTCAGTCATTTGATATATTTTATCTATCTCTTGCAAAAGGATCAGGAGGTTGTGCAGGATGTGGTTGATCTTCAAGCGTATTTTTCATGTTCTTCAAACCGCTTTGTTACCAGTTTTGCGATGTGAATATGTGCGTTGTCATTTTGATACACGGTTTCTTCTTTGAGATATGATATTTGATAAATCGATTTAACACAGCAACGTGTCAATAAAGTTTGAGATTTTAGAATACATCAATAGTCTTTTACAGTGATTTGATCGTAAAGAATTTTCATTGTTCTCACAGATTTCCTCTGTAATTTGGCCCAAAGTTCAACTAATTCTTTTCCATATTTTACTTGGACATGCAGAACACATCTAGCTGTAGCTTTACATGTAGCAAGAACTCAACATCCGTCACATTATTTCTCCTAGAGGTTGAAAAACAAATAAGATGGATTCACTGCTGAACAATTCACACTTTTATTGTGTTCTGAGAAAATTTTGCATTTCTGACACCACAAAACGAGCGTTTGTTATTAAAGGCTCTGTTGTCGTTGTACTATAAATGTTAACCCTGAAAAACATCTGTCGGCAAAAGGCACAAAGAAGGCAATTTTCGTAAATCTGAGCGATTCAGGAGGATATTGAATTATTACGAACTGGCATATCCTAGGAAAAGTGTTGCGAACTAAGTCTGAGAATCACCTTGCATTTGATTTATAAGGTACGTAAGGTTATTATTTAAATTAAACAATTATTTATAATTTCAGCCTTCATTATAACTTATCCTTTCCGTTTTCTCACCAGAATGCAAATCAGTTAGCTAGTATTTAAACCGAGGCTTTTGGATTGCATCACTTATACTCTGCAGCCTTGCAGTTTTTCTTCCACCCAGCTTGTCTAGTAGCGGTATGATTTAGCGACTCACTGTCTCCATCAGCCTTTTACTAACATCATTCCGTCAGATGATGTTATTTGAAGATTTTTCTATCTGCGGATCCCAAAATACTGCTTCATGTAATTGCTCACAGAATTACATCTCAACGGTTTTTCGCTTTTAACTCTGGAATGTAGCCTTAGAAACTCACAAATAATCGAAAATCGCTAAGTTGTTATACTGAAATAGTGATAACACGCGGGCGCCCAATAATAGCGAACTATGTTCGCCTGAGCCGAAACTTAAGAATTGTAAGACACAGCGTGGTTCTGCCCCTTTCGAGGGAATGTTACGCTTGTCTTACCAACTCTGAAAAGTTGTAATTATTCGGCTTTGCGTCATCGCTGTTGACTATTGAATTCGATACCCCGCTTAGAAATTCTGAGCCAGCCTAGAGTAAAATTTAATTTTCTAGTCTTTGACTTTTATTACGTTTTGAATTCAAATTGACTGTTACTTTAATAGCATCACTACGAATTGTGGCTGATTTTTGTTAGCACAAGAACATGCTCATATGTTCTAATTTCTGTTTAATAAAAAAGGTTAATAAAACCTTTTCGTGACTGGTAGCTACTTTAGACATAGCGATAATTCGCTTCATGGGGCTAAAATTTCCCGATCAAGTAAAACCCTACATGTAGTCAATTGATAATTTGTATGAGCATTTGCCGCTTTTTTAATTAATAGTTGTATTTAATAAAATATACTCCGTATGCTGTAAAACTGGTGTAAATCGTTTTATAATTTATTAATTTGTTCATTTTTCGGCATTTCACATTTTTAGTTTTCATAATATTTTTTTAATATTTTTTGATTAAATATATTCTGTTCTTCGAGTTGTTAGACTGTAATCTATAGTTTTCAGATTACAATGTTTTAAAATTTCATTTCATTATTATCATTTTATTAACGTAAACGTGTATAAATCTGAAAACAATATTAGAATTATATTGCAGTCTAAATTAAATTAAACTAAAAGAAATATATATATTTAGACGTTCCAATACCAACCTAGTGAATGAAATGCATTAACAAATGATATATGCTTGAAGCATTCACTATTACATTTCAAATCTAAATTGGGGAGTGTGTTAAAATGGCACACATCAGTTAGAATCAAAGTTATGATTGATTATGATTACTTTGCTTTCTTATTGCAAACAATTTTCTCTCTTGAATATTCTCAGTTATAAAATAGCAATTGATGTGAATGCATGATTAATACAGTAATTAAGAATGGAACTATTTTTAGGGTATGAGAACGTGCACCAACATTTTCATTTGCAATATGGCTTTAGCAGATCTGATGACCATTCTTTGCTGCTCTTGGACGATAATCGTTGTAGATGCATATCAGAATTTTATGCTGGGAAAAGTCTATTGCAAATTAGATGGTTTCTTCCACGGTAAGATTCATCCAACACTCTGTATTTCACAGTTATATTTTTAATTAATATCGATGAAAAGGTTTTACTCACGTTACTTAGAAACCATAGATAGTTGTGTTGTATTTAGAATATTTTCAAATCTTACGTGAAATAATGTTTTATATTACTTCAGTTTAAAAAGCATTTTTTCAACGTTAGGAATTATAGAATTCATTTCATGCATTCGAAAGATTCGCTCGTTTCGAAACGTTATTATTTACTTCAGAATTCATCTAAATCCTAAGAAATCTATTTGGTATAACATCTCTTCTGTGTGAATAAGACCAAACGATAATTTAACGGAAATAATGCTACAATAAGGCCCTTTTAGAAGTAAAAATTAATAATTATGATTTCATAAGTTATAATGTTATTTTTAAATATGATAATTTATAAATTTAAATACTATTAATTAATTAAAAAATAGAAAATTAATTCTAATAAATTATCCGAGCACAAAATGTTCTTTTATCAGCTGCAAATAATTACAAAAAAACCTATTCAGAGTGTTGTTACTTCTTTATCTTGATTTCATATCTGCTGCTGGAACATTTTGTAACCTTTTCCAGACTCAGTTTCCGTGTAAATTAGAACTTGAGATAAAGAAAACGAATTTAACCGTTTGACAGTTGATAAGTCTGAAGAATCGTGAAAGATTCGTTGCAACATATCAAGCGCAGAAATTTTCTGAAAAACAAAGCAACAGTATGGGCAGTTTGTTCAATAAAGATAACAGGGTTTCGACAGGTGAGCTATGTTAATATGTTCATAATTAACAAGAGTTCATAACAAAAAAAGAGTTCCCATATCTGGCAATAATATGTTTAATACTTCAAGCACAGGCTTTTCGAAAGCGAGCAGTATCAGTTTGTTCTATCCTACATCTTAAGCAAATAAGGAGCACATTCTTCGTGCAAGATTATCCAAAACCGTCTGATGATATAATTAATTGTTACCTAACTATATGAAAATTTTAAATAAACTTTTCTGAAGATAAACGTGCAACAATTAAATTCCATATGTAATCTTGGAGGGGTGTTGTATAGCAAATTAATATATGTATCGAATCGATTGTGAATCTCTTCCCGCACATTTCTTAACGTGTTTTCAATGAGAAGAGCAAAACTGTGAAGATTTAGATAGCTTAGGATGAAAAATCTATCGACATGGCGGCACGTTTTGGAAAGAGCATTTTCCATGTGAAGCATTATTCTTTTGAGGTTTGTCATGTGGATCATCCAGGAAATTGAAGAAGATCGAGATTCTGAAATGCTATATGAAATTAAACAGAGAAGGTAAATCCTCTCAAGATTTCAGCAATTGCATACGCTTGTTATATCTTCTGAACTCCGTTGAAACTTCTGAATGAAAAATACGAACTAAAATAAAGTATGATTACGATGATATTAATAAAGCAAAATTCCTCTTCCAGAAAGAATATTTTAGAGAAATGTCTATTTTGCACATAGGAAATTTTTCTGTCTACAAGGCAATAGCTGGAGCAATGGAATAGGCATCTACAATTTCAAAGATGATTTTGCGAACAAAAAAACAAGCATAATAATTATAATATCATTTGAAACTGTTAGAATTAAAATTTAATTCAATAATAAGGCGAGAGTTTTAATTTAGTTAATTATAGATTATTTATTATTAATTATTTTCTTGTGTATTGAGAAGAACAGCAAACTCAGAGATCGCCTTAGGCGAGAAAACTTCTGACTATGGCCCTGGTCAAGAAGTCTTAAGCTGCATACTTTGCTCAAGAAGGCTAAATCAAAATAAAGATGCAATTTGAATTTGATCGGGAAGAATATTGATCAGAATACTCACATTTCTTTTACCCTTCTTACTGCATCTGATTCTTATTAAATAAATTAACTTCCATTAGTTCTATTATTTCATTTGATTTTTATAATATTTTAATTTGCAATCAGTTTGCTTACTTTTCATTTGCTTTCTTATTTAACTTAACTTCTTTAATTTTGCGTTTTTAACTGCTTTTCAATAATCTAATTTAATTTAATAATACATTTATTTATCTCTTCATATTTTGTATTATTTTAATATTCAATATTTATTTTATTTCTTTTCCGTTAATCGCTCCTGTCGCAGGACTCTGATAGTTCTAATTCTTCTAGTTTAAGAAACTGATTTCTGATTGCATTTTAAATAATGTACGTTATACTCTATCGTTTAGTTTCATTTTTACTTTAGAGTAATTTGTCATGTAGATGAATTAGTTAGGTCATTTCAAATAGCTACACATTTTCTCTTTTCTACTGACAATTTTCGGAAAGTAATTGATAGAAACCAATAGAGATATCAAAGATGTATGTATTCGAATTATTGCTTGGATTCTCCATATCTGATATGCTACAAAAGTCTGGTATTTTAAAATAGGTATTTTAAGGTCATTTCACTCTCCCTCATTTTTTGCATGTAATCGTCACCCTACAGCACTTATTTTCTCCACCTCATTTTAGACTGTAGTTCAAGTCTGGCTTCAGTCATGCAATTTTCCGAAGTGAAACACGCTAAACTGAAATTAAGTTTAAAAAAAAAGAAAAGGGGAAAAAATTATGATTTATTGCAGTTGTCGTTATCATGGTTACGAGGCAAGCCTAGCGGTAGAAAATTATCCTGAAGTGCCTATTCTGAAGTAGCAAACTATAGTACGGACTATTCAGTGAAGTTTTATTTAGGCTTAATGATCCGAATCCTGATTACTGGTTTTTAAAATGAAAATAAGCAGAAAGGCAGATATTTGCTTTCTGAAAGATTTTAGTATGATGAAGATGATGAATTTCATGCCTTGGGGAGTTTTGATTCTTGAACCAACTTGTCAGGACCACTGTTCCTTCTAATTGCCTTTGGAAACATCTGTTAGTCTTGAATGAGAGCAGGGAGCTTACTCAAACTATCCTCGTGTGTGTGTAGAGGATACGGTAAAGATGAGAAGGGTTAAATTTACCCTTTATTTCTCACAGCGTACAGCCCTTCCCGCACTTCAGGATATAGATACCAGCACTTATGATCTAAAACGTAGAAAATGAGAACTAAACTAACTTAGCTAAATAAGAACTAAACTTAGATATTTTACAAAGACTAGTAACGCGTAAATTGGCTTTTTAACATTACGTATGTAGTGAGCGGAAAGCAAAAGACTACAATACGTCTTCAATTATCAGCGAGAATTAAGTTCTGGTCTTAAAGGCAGACAGGAACTGACTCAAAAAGCACGCGCGTCGTAAAGCAGCGAGACGTCTCTCTCTCTCTTTTGGCTAAAAGCCATATCTTAAATACTTAGCAGTCTACAAGCTCATTTGCATAAACAAATATAATCGCTGCCCAGAATCTGATCTGAATCGCAAATCTAATTCTGGCCAGAAATGGAAAATAAGAGAGGATAGCAAAGTTTTAAAATAAAATAAACGTTAGTTAAAATCTTTACAAACTGGGCCGTCTTTTTCAAAGCTGAAAATATTTTATCACAAAAGTTTACAGACTTCATATATAAAAATCCAGTTAATTTTGACAGACTAGAAATCTCTATAACAAAATATAACGGGGGCTGACCATCCCGTCGTTAGAGAGCTACCGATCGATCGAGTGTACTTTTCAGTGGATTGGATGTCATTTATTTATTCCGTAAAAGGGAGGGGATAGCAAATGTTTACAAAAATTCTAGTAAGATATTTTACACTGATTTTCGGATGTTAAGCACGTGATGGTAAAATAAACAAAAATAGAAAAGTAGAGCTTTGATTAACACCAATGTGCACATGAAGGTAGCAATTGTTTATACGTGAAAGAAAACATGCATGGAACAAAGAGGAAAACAACATTTAATTTTCGTAAACTATATGATGATGATGTCAAATTTGAGTAGTTAACAAATTAATGTTTAAAGCTAAAATAAATGAACAAAACATATATTAATGGGGTTTGTGTCCACCCCGGACTTTCACATAAACTTTATAGCGATTGCTCGTTTTCAGTGAGGTGATTAATTGTTGCAGATACTAGTCATGAGCATTGCTTCATTAGGACAGTTTCTAACTGTCTGGCAGTGGCTGAAAGAGATAAACGTGCAGAAACAGCATGCCCGAGGATATCCCAAAGATTTTCAATGCGATTAAGGTCCCATGAATATGGCAACCATTCCATACAAGAAATGGTCTCTTTCTTCAGGTACTCGCTAAAGATGTTGGCTGTATGAGGACGACCATTATCATTCATAAGGAAAATATCAGAACCCATTGCTGCAACGTAGAGTCTTAAATTGGATGTAGGATTTCATTCCGATACTGCGTAGCCATCACAGAATCGTCTTTAAAGATGTGCAGCAGGGTGTGATATCTCACTTAAATTCCAGCCCACACCATGATGTTGCCACTTCTGAATGTGTGATGTTCTATGATCTTATGGCCTTCATTCCGGAAGCCTTATTCTCTTTAAATTTTTGAATGATTATCCTCTGATTTCCGGAAAAAGTCTGGAGTCGTCCGTAAACAGGCCGTTGTGCTAGTCGGAAACAATCGAATTGAGACAATGCCGACACCACTTTTATATTTTGCCCCTCTGGATTAGACGGTTAGAAGAACACAAACAGTTGGTATTCTGGAGTACAAATATAGTCATTTCATGTGAAGGCTTCGATGACCTTTTGCAGGTATGGTCGTATCAAGTGACGCTGCAACTATGAATGAAATAATTGTGGAGGTCGTTCATCGATTCTTTTGCGAATCGTTTGCTTGTTCCCTTCTGAAGATCGGTATAGGAATATATCGATCTTCAGAAGGGGTGGTAACCTGTGGTAGAACAGGCACAGATCTTCAGGCGACTTGTTTGTAATTATTTACACATTCGAGAAATTTGCGAGTGATCAGTGTCAAAAAGAGTGACATTTTTTAATGTTTGACCTGCTTCAATTTGTTTGACAATAAGCTAGCACTCATTATTTGCTATTCATCTTCTTTCAATCGTAGAAACAGAAATATCATCAAAAGTTATGCTATAGTTATATAAATTTCGGATCAGCATTTAAATTTACCTATTCAAACCCTTCAGAATGCTAGCGTCTTCAAGGACTGCCTAATTAACGTGTTTTAGGATAGTGAATCGTGATTGTCTGTAAGATACGATAGCTGCATACTAGCATCTGCATCCCCAGCTATTTTAAACGAATCAAATTAAACTACGCTTTCGAAAATTGCTAAGATGCATTGCTTGTTTATCTTTTAGAAAGCAGTGTCTATAGCAATAGGATTTTTAATTCTACTCACAATACATTGCTGATTAATAAATAAATAAAACTAAAAATTTGCTTGATATTTAGCCGCCATTTCGCTGATCAGCGCTTACCAGCTGTAAATATATAAATAACAACCATATAAGACTTTGTTTTCTTATAAAAGGCTACTTTTTATCATTATTTATGAATAGAATGAGCCATAAAGATTGCCATATAAATATTTTTCATCAGTTCATAAAGTTGCAATGATTTGGCGACTATTTCTGGGGGGGTGATGCGGATTAATTAGAAAGTAACCAATTATCTTTTACTGTCAACTCCTCGTTGCTTGCAAGCAAATTAAAGGAGTTGTGAATTGACTAGATCCGATCTTGAAAAAATTAAATTTTTTATTGCGAAGCAATGGACAAAATTACTACCACAAAACATTAGCAAAGAAAACTATCTGTGGAAAACACAACAAGCAAGTGTAAAAGGCATAAGATAACAAAAGTGATAGCAGGTAACGCTTTTAGTTTTTAGCAAACCGTGGGTGTCGTTCCAGATATTACCTTAGTAAATCGGAAGTTTACAGTAGTTCAACTTGTCAAAATTACAGATAAAATGTAAGATAAAAATTAAAGTAATTTCAACATTCACATTTAATATCATTAACTCAACACAAGAAATGAACAAAATATACATTTTTTCAAATGAGCTCATAAGTGTACAATTATTCGAATAGCTGTAAAAAGTCCTCACGTTCCTTCTGCTGAAGTTTCACATCTAACATTCTCAGTTTATTCCTTATACTAGTTGCCCGTAGAATATTCCAATTGAGTTTTTTGCCAATCCGAGCTAGCAGCTAAAAACTGAGATCTCTTTTTAGAAAATATTAATCGATTAAGTAATTATCTTTTATATATTTTCCTGAGCAAATAAGTTAACGGCATATTCTTAAATTATATTTCTGCTTTCACGTTACAACTAAATTATACTTCTGCGGAAACTTCAGCGGAGTTAAATAACGTATTTGATGCTTTTCATGCTTGCAAAAATAATTTTTCTCTTACATGTAAAACTTCAGTGTATATAAGTTAAAGGACTTTTATTACTATTATATTGCTAGGTACTATATCACTTACAAATATGTTTTTCCTTTTCTGAGTGAAATTTCCTTAGTTTTAAATTAAAGACATTTGTTCTTGCTTGTAAGCGTTTCTCCTAACTTCTTTGTTAAACTTGAGAGGTGGTAAGTTAAAGATCTTTTTTCATTTATATTCTAGTAACTTTCCTGCTTGCAAGTGTGTTTTCCCTCATCATCATCTCAGGAGATCGTCTTCTGGGGATCGTCTTCCCTTTTTCCAGGAGGCTGAGTCGTGGTCAAGCGCTGGTCATCGTAGTCGCCACATGGGTGGCAGCTATGATGTGCGCATCCCCGACGGCCATTTGGAGGTGGCTACAGACACGACGGTGGCATGACTACGAAGAGGTCAGTGGATAAAGAAAATTTGATCTGAAAATTAGCTTTTTTGTGAGTGGTACATCATAGCTGTCACTTGGGCGGCAGCTATGATGTGCGCATCCCTGACGGTCATTTGGAGGTGGGTACAGACGCTATGGTGGCATGACTACGAGGTCAGTGGATAAAGAAAGTTTTTGTCCCGTATATTAATTTGTAAAATAGAATGCGGATAAAATAAGGTATTTTGTTTTGATACAAAGCACAGAAACTTCCTTGGGTGTCCTGACAATGCTACTTACGAAATAAGGGCATGTTTCTAGGACATCCCGGAATATCCGCTGACTTCGCTAAAGCATCCTCCAGAGTCCTTAATGTCAGATCCCGGCATATCTCCAGGACATATTTGCTAGCTCCCATTGACAATGTACGTGATGAGGCAAGAATTTAAACTCCTACTTACTACTTGATCTCCGTCTGTAAATATCCCTCTAACTTCCTAAACCGACGAATCTTTTGAGCTCAGCGTGTCAAAATTCGAAAACCGTAGCTTAACTATGTCATCTGTATCATCTGTCTGCCAAGAATCCTCTCGAACGCATTCAAGTTAAGCGCAGCACATATTGACGAATGATGAGACTGTTGCAAAAGACAAATATATTAAATATTGTGCAATATTTTGTCTCCGTTGATGCATCCTCCCGATTACTTGATGTCATATCCCAATATCCTCAAGATATCCTTTCTAGGTCCCATCAACAATGTATGGGATATTAAGAAGTCACATTTTCTTCTTTTTCAGGATATTATGAAATATCCTTCTGATCTCCTAAGTACATTTTCTCCTTTTTCTCGAGGGCATAATATCATATCCTGGTTTATCCCCAGGACTTCCTTGTCAAGTTCCATCGACAATGTATGAAATGTTGGGACTACTCATCTTTCTCCGGATATCCTTAAATATTCCTCTGGCCGCCTAAACACATCCTCACGAGTGCCCTAAGTCATATCCCAGTATTTACGAGGATATTCTCATCGACAATGCAAGGGATCCCAATGACAATGCAAGAGATGTTGTGAAGATTTAAAGTCCTACTTAGTACTTTCTCAAGACATCCTAAAATATACCTATGACTTTATGGTGATTCCTATCTTATTGTTACCTATATGTTTTACCACCAATCCTCGCATTCCATATCACAGATTATGTTCTTACTGCATTAATATAAATATTAACAAGACATAGTGCACAATAAAAATTTAGCTTTATTTCGGAACTTCGCGCACACTCCCCGACAGCCGGCCTGTTTCGCTCTGCTCGCTACTCGTAAGAAACTTCTCCTCTAGGGTTGCCACACTTATTGGTGTTGGTGTTGGTGTATTTAATTATGGCAAAGCACACTAGGGCTATCTGCCTAAGAAGAGGGATGCCTTTCGTGGAGGACTTTCTAAGGGAAACTGGCTCGTACACACGTTACACATGGGGAAAACCACGAAAACGCCCATGCAGCCAGCCTGTTCGCGGGATTCGAACCTCGGACCGAACTACCAGTGTTCAGTGACTTTACCGCTCGGCCGCTGGTAGGCGCCACACTTATTGGAGGGCGCAAGGCGCGCTCCTTATTGCCATCACTACAGAGTTCCCCCCAATTCCTTTGATGGCTATTCAAAGGAACGACATTAGGTTATGAAATTATCTCAGTAGATCCGCACTGTCGGGTATTTTTTTCATGATTACAAAATTAGAATATAAAATTAGAAAAGATCAAAATGCAGTTCAATATGTAACAATGTAATGACACTTATAATAAACATGAAATAACAAAAAATATGTTACGATATGAATTTCAAAAAAAAAAATAATAATAATAATAATAATAAAGTTTTAAATTGTTATGTAAGGAGCAAATTTCTTAGGGAAGTGAACATGTCTTCCCGATCTGGTAACAGTTTGTGTCTTAGAGAGCTCGTTTGCAGATTTATTCTGCTGAACTGTCTTTAAGTCTTTATTTGTTTTGAGTTCAGGCAAATTAGAGTCCGAAAGCAAATATGCTAGTTTCACACGGTCTATAGACACAGTAGATTTCAGACCGTTAATATCAATTGTGAAAGTTTTGTTCGTTCTAGAAAGGACTTTCTGCGGACCTGTATATGGTTGGCACACAGGTGGCTTTACTCGATCGACACGTAAGTATACATGCGTACACGACTTTAAGGTAGCACTTACGTAACACTTTTCTTAAAAAATGTGCAGATGTTGCCATCGGATTCGATTGTTGCATTCTATGTCGAAGATTCGTGATAAATTGAGTGTCATTCAGAGATATCTTAGATCACGTTATCATATCACTAGGCAGCTTGAGAGTTGTGCCGTACACCAGTTCAGCACAAGATGACTGTAGATTTTCCTTTACGGCTGTCCGAATACCAAGCATAACAACTGGTAGTGTTTCAGTCCAGTTATTGGTCTCGTGAGCCTTGAGAGAAAATTTTAAATGTCGATGAAATTGTTCAACAATGCCGTTGGACATTGGATGATAGGCTGTTGTTGTGATTCTGTTCGTACCCAAAATGCGCGTAAATTCTGCAAAAAGTGCGGATCTCATTTGAGAACCTTGGTCTGTTGTTATGATTGATGGGCAGCCAAAACGAGATATTCAACAGTTGAAGATGGCTCTGCAAATGGTTTCCGTTTTCATATCCGGCATGGGAATGGCTTCAGGCCATCTCGAGAATCTATCTATTAGAGTCAAAAGGTACACGTTGCCTTCTGATGGAGGTAACAGTCCAACGATATCCATATGGATTTCTGAAAAACGTGCATCAGGGAGAGAGAATGTGCCCATTGGTGCTTTAGTATGCCTAGTAATGCCGAGTTTTGGCAAGATTCACAGGATTTCACGCAATTTTTGATATGACGTTTCATATCGGGCCATACATAACGAGAACAAATAAGCTTCGTAGTAGCCGCAATTCCTGGATGTGACAGATTATGCAGATGATTAAAGATGAGTCTGGGAAAGAAATTCAGAACAAATGGACGAGGAATGTCCGTTGATATGTCGCAAAGAATATTACCATCAGAATACTGGCACGGTTTAAATTCCAGTGAATTTCAGAGCAATGGCATTTTTGGCAGCAATAAAGGCTTGTTTAGCATTCTCGTTCCAATTTAATTGTGGGGATGAATCCTGAACACGAGATCGAGATTTCTTTTTATTAATATAGCCTTCTAACAATTTTATTAAAGGAGAAAGAATATGTGCTGCTTTAGGTATGAAACATCTGTGCTGCTTTAGGTATGAAACATCTGCTTTAGGTATGAAACATAAGTTAAACATGCCTAAAAATCGGCGAAGCTTAGTGAGAGTGGTAGGTTGAGGAAAATCTAAAATACATTTAACTTTCTCAGGAAGAGGTTCAATTCCGTTTTCACTAAGGTGAAAACCTAAGAAATCAATAGACGTTTGACCAAAGGTACATTTTGAAACATTTATGCAAAGTCCATATTCCCGAAGTTACGAAATAAAGCTAAATTTTTATTGTGCACTAAGTCTTGTTAATATTTATATTAATGCAGTAAGAACATAATCTGTGATATGGAATGCGAGGATTGGTGATAAATATAGGTAACAATAAGATGGGAATCACCATAATGTTGACTTGGACTGTGTTAAATCAGGCCATATGAACAGTTCTCTTTCTTTCATATTCCATTATATTTTCAGGACATCCTCGCTAAGTCCCATAGAGCAGTGTACAGGTTGTTAAGAGGAGTTGAAGTCCTTCTTACCATATTATCAAGGTATCTCAGAATATTTCCTTAGTTTCCTAAACATTCTCTCGGATGCTTAATGCTATGTCCCAACAATATCCCCAAAATACCATCATTAAGTCATTTCGATATTATGTACGGGGATAATATCAGGACTTAAAGACCTACATTCCCTCGGATGCTTAATGCTATGTCCCAAAAATATTCCCAAAACATCATCACTAAGTTATTTCGATATTATGTACGGGGATAATATCAGGACTTAAAGACCTACACTTATCACCTTCTAAAGTTGTACTTGAGCTGATAATAGAATGAGCCTTACAATTTACTAGACAAGTAGCGAGTTATCGCAACTTCTAAAAATAGTATGATATTTGCGAAAGTTTAAGCAATCATTTTATTAGACTGAACTTTTAACATAAAAGGTACAATCTGCGATACGAGTAATCACTTCTTGTAACGATGTAAATTAATCAATCACAGGTACTTAAAATTTATTAATTAAAAACGTTGATAAGAGATTTTAACTTTTAAATTTAAACTTTGATAACAGATTACATAGAAAATAAGCTTTAAGCTAGCTCAACTAATTTCATAGGCGCGTAAACTGAAAACAATTGGCTGCGAGAGAATGCAGAGCTAAGATAATTACATTTAAGGAAAGCTGGCAAAAATCTAAGAGCTACGCGAGTACCAGAAGCTCTCTCTATCTAAAATAAAAAATCCGCAACTTAAATCTCTTAAAACTAATTTGCTACCTGCCGCGGAATATGGAAAGAAGTTAAAGTAAAGATCAAAATCATAATAACTAGTTAATTGATAAGAACCTTAAAAACCTTCTAGGGATATTCTCATGTACTCTTTATATTATCATGGAACAATAAGGAACGTTTATGTAACTTGAAAGTTTTTAAATTGAATTAAAGCTTACTTAATAATGTTTTTAAATCCAAAAGAGTTCAGGGAATTGAAAATGAATATTCAGTAGGAAGTGTTAGAAAAGAAAATTTTGCTGTTATTTTTAAGGCCATGATATAGTCATGTTATTACATATATATATTTGCTAAAAGTTTACTGCATAAGTTTCACGCCTGACATCCTTAAAATCTTCGTAATTTAAAGTGGCTTGTGTTAACATTATTTGTGGCTCAATTATCCGCATGAAGTCGATAGAATTAATTATGGAAGACATATTATGTTGCATATTCAATTCATAAAATTTTTAAACAAGGTTAGTAACAATGTTAGTTAAAGATCTGAGGGCAATGAACTAAATATAAAATGTATGCCCTGCTAATTGCAGTCTTAAGAAAGCCTTTCATCTACACGTTTACAGATTTCTTATCTTATTTAATGATGATGATAATAGTAGTAATAATAACAATAATAAAAACGTGTTAAATTTAAGTATGACAAAAAAAAATGCGGGAGGGATAACAGAGTAAACGTTTCAAATTTCCAGCCAGATTTGCTAAAATAATTAACTAATTAGAGTGCAAAAAGAACTGTAAGGGTTTCATGGCTAATCCATGTCGTCAAGTGGTATAATGCAATGAAAATCGGAGTTTAGGATGCAAAAGGAAACGTCAAAATACCTTTTGCATTTTGCATCCTAAACTCTGATTTTCATAGACTTTTAAAATGGCTCGGAACCGAAAACCTTTTTTTCTCTTCTGTTTCTGTTATTGCTTTATGAGAAAATTTTGATTTTTGCATAACATTTATTTGGTTATTTCTTTCTTTCTTTTCCTAATCACTGTTTAAGAACATTATTGCATCGAAAAATGTTTTTAAAATTCTAATGGTTTGTTGAATTGCTTTCTAATTTATGACAGCTGGAAATATATTGGGGATAGAATACATTAATTAGTATTCTTCTTACTATCATTTTTAGGCAAACGTACGTATATACATTTGTAAATATAGATCATTGTTGACCTGTCGCAGCAATTTGTTCTTGCAGTTTATTTCCCTCCCTCAATTCTAAATTTATCTGTTAACTTTTGGCGCATAGGCTATAATTTGTTGCTTTTGATGAAAAATTTCAATTTCCCCCTTTTCTCGTTAAATACCTGTACTTTTTGAAAAATTAAGCAATAAACGGATGAATTAACATATTCGAAAAGAACTAGCCACAAAATCTGCATACATAATAGGTGCACAGAGAAACTAGCTGGAAGAAAAGTTTTAACAGCATTTTTTAAAAAACAAACGTATGAGGGATAAAAACTTGTTTTATACAGAGCCTATATCTTTGCATTACAAACTTTAAAATGATTATTTTAAATTTATTAATTTAAAATGAAAAACTTATTTTGAAAAGGAGTAGATGACATCATCTGAGTGGATACAGGTGATGGAAGTTAACAAGGCATCTCAAAAGAGGCTACAGCTCTCAGAAGTACCTGAGCAATAAATATCAAGCGTTCCGTTATTTGGCGCCCGTAGAAGGGATTTCAAAGTGAACCAAGATTGCAGTTAGTGTATGTTCCAGAATGACAGCCGCTCAGTCAGCTGCATGCAGGGTGACTAGTGATTTGCGCCTCATATTCTGGTAAAGAGGGACCTCTTAAACTGATTTCGAGATATCTTCATGCGAACATTACAACAATGGGATGTTGTGCATCTTAAGACTGGGTTATGGTTCGGTTTATAGACTAATTCCCGACGCGAACGTTTCGAAGAACATCCCGTCCAGGTTTGAAGGACGCTTTTGTTTACTACTATTAATTAATCATTTGATTGATCTCCTTTTCTTTACATTTTCCCTTGCTAGTTTCTTTTATCCTTCCCAGCGATCCGTGAAAGATTCAATGAATTCAAATAAATAATTTTTTGTCCATTTTCTTCACTTATTTGCTTAACCTTTGGACATAAGCATAAATATAAATTAATTAATATTACTTCATCTATTTTCCAGGTGTGGTGCAATGAAAATGGCTTTCTTCTTAAATATTATTGGTTAATGATCCTCATTCTTTTGGTATACATGCCGTTGACCGTTATGGCCGTGGCATACACTGCTATCATTCTGCAACTGGATAAATATGAACATCAGCTCTTCCTTAGGGAACATCCGCTTAAGATGAAGTACAGGAAAAAGGTAATAGGCAGAATTTTTATTTATATTCAATATTGACTTGAAGTTCTATTGACGTCATCCTTCTAAAGTGACCTGAATGAATGAGTTAAAAGTCGATTAAAATTACAATTAGTGTCCTGAATTTACATTTCTTAATCTATGTTTCGGATTTCTAATATACATAAAGCAATACAGTCTTAAGCGATGACTCTTAAGTTATTAAATGACACAGGTGCATAAAGTTGTTTTCTGATTAGATTATGTCAAATGGTGGCTGTATTATAGTGTATGATAATACGTATATTTTACTTGTTTTCTCCATAATTCAAATTGATTTGTTTTTCACTTTATTTGAAATTATTATCTGTGATACGAATGAATCACAAATAATTTTCAGAGTTTCAAAATATGGCTGATAATTCCAGTGCACGCTTTTCCTAACTTTTAAGCTTACCAGATGTTGTTAAAGACGTTTTCAATTTAACGGTAAAACTCTCTTGAAGTAAAGAATAGGCTATTTCGTTTAAGCTGAGTTTGTTATTTGCAATTAACGATATTTAGCAAAATCTAGTACCACCAGAAAGGTCTCGCAAAATGAACGTGAACAAAGTTGCTCATTATAACCATTTAATCATGGATTTATCATCAGCACAAAGGAAAGAGGTGATGTTTAATAAAAGCTTTTATATATATTCTTAGAAATATGTATCATTTTGAGGTGATGGTCGTCTTCAAGAAACGATCTTCCTGAGGGGTTTTCATTGCATTAAAAATTGAAATTTATAGCACCATAAGGATTTTAGCAGTATTATTATCGATTTAAAATCAAAATAATATCTGATTTAGATAATCATTGCAAATATAGTGACAGATATCCTTCAAAATGGTTTTGCTTATTATTATCTTTGCTCCGAAATTTGGAATTTAAAGAATATAAATTTTTGTAACTAGCAGAGAGTAATGGGATAACGCCAATATTATTAAAATTCGTATTTTACCCATTCATGTTTTAAACTAAACAATTTCCTGAAACTATATCTGTACTAAAAACAGGGCATAAAACACGCAGCCAGTCTTACTGCTCCGTTTACTGCTAAGTTTGCTTGCATTCTATTTTTCCTTAACTGGAAATAATTAATTCTCTTTCTGTTAAGTTAGGCCATATATTATTTACCTTGAGTAAGTAGGTAAAAATCACTTACACTATGTATTCAGATTAACAACGCCTTCCTGGGACCCACGGTGAGGTGCTACTGCTACGCGTTGAAGTGCTATTGTTATTTGTTGCAACCGACATCTCAAGCCTCTGCCTCCTCTGGCGGTGTCATCAGTGGTTTCAATTTATGTTTGGATCTGGGCAAGTGGAGCATTTACACCGCTGCCTTGATTATACATTAAATATTGTATACGCGCAATGGTTATGAGAGAAATACATTACACTGTTGCTTAAGTAATATGTTAACCTGCTTGATTGCTGGTGGGGCATGGCATTTATCTCGTATGAAATGATTGCATTTTCATCACACCTGGTCATTCGTTGCTTAGAGATACATATGCATTGCTTCCGAGTGCTCTGTGTCCTGCTTCATGTTGTTAGCGAAGTTTGTTGCTTTCCTGTGGAGTTACACGTGCAAATATTGCATCTGTGTTTAATTGCTTTGTTTCGATGTTACTGAAGCCATTTTTTTGGGGGGGGGTTAATTTGCGTTGCATAGCTTTTGATTTCTGGCAGCTAGAAAGTCAATGAGATTTGCAATTTTATTAAGTGGTTATTTTTGAATGAATATCTTAGGAATGGAAATAAATCCTCTTCTGATTCCTTGCATAGAAGTACGTGGGAAAGGGCCCATGCCCCATGATAAATGATTTATCTGGTAACATGAATCAGAGAGAAGTTAATTTTGGAGAAAAGGTTGTAAACTCTTCTCCTTATATTGGGAGCGTCCACCATTGTTGCCATGACTTTTTTGTTGTATTTCACAGTTTTAATTTCAGGTGTAAAGCTAGTAAGGAAATCCTCGTTTTCATGGCACTTATTCCTTGGGCTGCTTTTTTGGATAATAAGTCAGCCTCATCTTTTCCCTTGTGGCCAACGTGGGCTTTAATCCAAGTTAGAAAGAAAGGTTGGCACTGGGCGTGGGAGCACTCGTTGAGAATTTCTTGTGCTAGTTGTGAATTTTTACTTGTGTTCACGATTGCATGCATTGATGAACGACAATCGGTATAGATGTATGTCCTTGGGAAATGCTGACGTATGCTTTCGTTGACTGCCTATACGATCATGAACATTTAAGATTGGAATACGCTATTCTCTATATCGAGCAGTAATTTGAAAACCTTTGCGTCATGATTCTATTGAGACAGATTTTTATCGTGCATCCTTTTCCGTTGTTTATGCCGCAGCCATCTGTGTATATCTTCGGAAAGAATTTTCGGTACCTGTTCTGCCTTGCGCATAACGTGATGTTATTTCTGCTAGCTGGATGTCTTTCATATGGATGGGCCAGTGAGGTGCAGGAGTTGGAAGCTATTCTTTCATTTTTTATTTTGCAATTTTTTCTTAGTTGAAGAACTGAAGTCTTTTTATATTCCTGCCCCGCAACTAAGAACAGGAGGATGCGTCTGGTAAGCTGATACAGTGCAGCGTTTAAGGTTGTTCTATAAGGTATTTTCTCCTTCCTTTCCGAATGCATTCGTAATGCAACTGGAAGAACGCTCGACGCATTTTTTGGAAGTCCAGGGTTCGAATCCCGGCGAGGGCATTGTTCATTTTTCACGTCTCCAGCATAAGGAAAAAAAAAAAAAAAAAAAAACCTTTTTACTCTACAAATGGCGCCTTAACTAAAAGGTGGTGGACGATAATTCGTCACTACCAGTGACAAATTATCATGAGTTATCATAAAATTATCGTGAGTCACTACCAGAACTAGTTTTCGTTTATCGTTATTTTTTCATTAGCACTCATGTATTAATTTTGGTACTTTCGATAGGGTTTCGCGAGATTTTATTGTGAAATCAATACGCACGTCATAGTTGCGTTATTATAATAAGATGTAAATTTATCAGTGAACAAACTTCTGATTCGTTCCGTTAAGACGTTGGAAGTAGAAAGAAATTTAAAAAGTACGATTAAATAAATTCAAAACTTTCGTGACACACATCACACATTAAGATTATGAAACATTGCTGTTTCTTACAATTTTCTGAGAAACATTGCCTCATCTCCAGCTTCTTCGAAAGTTTCTGCAAACATTCTAGACGTACCTGCCTGCTATGCAACTTATTTAGCTGGACTGAACTAGTGATCAAATTTTTAACGAGTGGCCCCATAAAACATCTTCTATAATTTTAGTATAACTTAACAACAAAATGATCACAGCTCATTTGTAACACTGCCTTAATAAATTTTTCGTAAATCTTAGTATAATCCCTGGGAGAGAATTGTTTTACTTTTGTGGAACCCATATCGTAATTCTCAATAAAAATTTACATTTTTAATTAATGATGCTTATTTCTGTTAACTTTTAAAGATGTAATTAATTTGCATGTCTCTGCTATGTCGTTCTAAAAAAAGAAGCAATATTTCGTCGACATGTTTATACCCAACGAAAAAAGCAATTTTTTTTAAACCAATTACAAATGCAACTCTATTTTTATCATTCATATTTGTCTTTTGCAGTATGATTTTTCAAATGTTCATATTTCGTTTACACTGATACCATGAATTAATGGAATTTGTTTTTAAGAGCTTTAATTTGGTTTCTAGTTACAGTTAGTTGGAAAGAGAATGCAAGTATAAAAGCAGAAAACAAGTAATATAAAAAGAATTTAAAGTCAATTCCTACTTAGGTCAACAAAGAAAAATTTTAAAAGTCAAAAAACTTTTAAAATACAATTTTTTTAATTAAAATTTTTAATATTTATTTCATTGCATTTAATTAAAAATTAAAAGATTTTTAATATGTGAAAAAAATTTAAAGTCAATTCCTACTTAGATGAACAAAGAAAATTTTAAAAGTCCAAAAAGTTTTTTAAATACAATTTTTTTTAAATTAAAATTTTTAATATTTATTTCATTGCATTTAATTAAAAATTTAAAGACATTCAATATGTGAAAAAAACTGTATTAACATTGTAATCGACTACAAGTTTAAAAAAATGTATTTGAACTTGAGTGGATGAATAAAAAGTATTTTATTAACGATTGAAAATTAATTAATTAATATTAATTAAATAAAAAATTAAAGTCAATTCCTACTTAGTCAACAACAGAAATTTAAAAAATAAAAAAAAGGTTAAAATAAAAAAATAAAAAAATATTTTAATATAGAAAAAACTATATTAACATCAAGTGTCATCCACTATAAATTTAAAAAATGTGTTAGAAATTGAGTGGGTGAATAAAAAGTATTTTATTAACGATTGGAAATTTGAACAAGAGACAGGGAGAGTGTGAACTAATAGTAGAAATTTAATAAAACCTGAAAAGCTTTAAAAATAGCGATAGATGTATTTTTATTACTTAATTTTAGTATACGCACATGCGTAATATTTAATCTTATGCCCGCAAATTCTTAGAAAATATGTACACATTTTGAACTGACATCACTCTAAAACTACGAGTAAAATGTTTGAATAGAAATCTAAAATTAGCATATACGAATATGCAGAAAACAAAGCTTGTTTATTTGTGGCTAGTCATTGTTTATAATAATTATTAGGGTGTGTATTGTATTTGTTTGTTTGTAAATAAAATTTAAATCATAGTACCCTTACCATCTCAGGAATCGATATTCTAATCTAACAATATTACCATATTCTCTGTGTCTATCCATTATTTCTCTGCATTGCACCATTATATGTCACCTATCAAGTCTGTTTAAATACTAATTCATTGCATTTTCCCCTTTTTTACAGGTCATTAAAGTTCTTTTCATGTATGTTCTCAATTATCTCGTATTCTGGGTTCTCTTTCAAGTGGTGGTCCTGTACAGATATTTTAAACCTCCTCAACAAGAGGTTAGTGCTTAATTTCTGCGGTTAAATATCGTCTGAGAGTGCTTTTCCCCTCTTATTAACATATACATACGCGTAGTTTTCCATTTATATATATAATATATATATATTATATATATATATGAATTTCATTGATTAAGAAAGCTAGAAGTTCAATATATTTTTTAAATGCAAATAATTAGCCTTTACTTTTTTTTAAATCAAATCAGGTAATTTTCTGATAAATCTGAAATAAATATTGTATTTTCAGCTCAGTTCATACTTGGTGTCTTACTTAAAACTGCGTAAAGTTCCTTAACTAGTTATTTTATATTAATTCTCTATCTAATCTCCTTAATTTCCATTTCCCTGCTGGAATATAAATTTCTAGCTCGTGCGGTATTCAAATGAGATAGAAAGTACGGAGTACTTACAGGAAGGTTTTAGAGGGTAAAATCAGAGCGTTTTTGTCTGCTTAAAGACCACGATGCTAAATTTGATCTTCTCCTGATTATTATTCTGCAGCGTTGAGTTATTTTTTGCCATTAGTTCATGCCGACTTTGGTCCGGGACAACTTGCGCGCTAACAGTTAAGCTGTGAAACGGCTAGGCTAGACTTAGCTTCAGTTTGTTTTCTTAATCAATTATCTTTGATTTGAGCTAAAACTCTTGGCTTCTGTAAGCAGGAGTTGGTGCCGACTGTTAAACTTTATTTGAATTAATAAAAATGTCTTTTACACCCTTTCTCTGTCTCTGTGGTACTTGCAAAACATAGCAATAATTCGCTACTTGTCTTTTAGAGTTCTGGCCTAATTTTATGCTGACTAAGAAGACTAGACTCTATAACTTACAAAAAATAACTGATATGCTAGGTTTATCAAGGAAAAGTCTAGATGGGACAAGAAAAAGTGTTGAAAACTTAACTGAGTAAATCTGAAAAAGCTCTCTCTTAAAAATATAAAATTCGCCTTACATTTTAAGATAAATTTTAAGATAAATTTTAACCACGAGTATATTCGTCAATCACAAAATAAGTTGCGCTGGTAAGATATTGAATGAAAAAGATGGGTTTATTTTATAAAATTGAAAATTTTATTACTAATATTTACTTATTTGGTTAACATAAGCATATATTACATACATATTAAAATAAAAACGTAATAAATTAAATTAAATATTATACATATAAAAGTAAGAATTTAAGTTCTTGCTGTTCAGCGAAACAGGGTACTTTGCAAATCGAATGCAGCGAAACAGGATACACAATGGGACTTCGCAAATCGAACACCAGTAACGCGATTCCTTCCTGATCTTACGTTTGTAGCGATGCGAACACCTTCGCGTAGGGTTGTTTTTCTTTCGATGTTCCGGGTATATAATCCGAAACATGATTCCCGCTTAATTGGCTTATATTAGGTGCAAATGACCGAGTTTGTATCGATTTATTTCTTTCCAATTGGATACGTCGCAAAAGTGTCTCCAATAAATTTGAGCAAAAAGTTGATACGCGATAAAAAAGTTGATACGCGATTTCATTATTTTTTTTATATCATATGAATGCATTCAGACTCATAATGTCTAAGAAATGGAGAAATATCTTTTTGTAGTATTTTTCAGTCATTTTCTTGCTGTGGTGTACGCTATGATAATTCCATCGCTCATTCCACTCCACCCACGTTTTTATTATAATCAATCACTAGCTCCGGTTTCTTTGTTATTATTTTTCTTTTCTCTGTTTCTATTACGTTGTCATTATGTACAGTACTTACTAAATAAACCTTCCTCTTATCTTTTCATTATACGCATGGCGAGTATACTCGTCAATAAACAAAATCGTGCCGCTTCTCCAGCGAGTATACTCGTCAATAAACAAAATCGTGCCGATTCTCCATGACGAGTATACTCGTCAATCACAGTTAATTGGTTAAGAAATGAACATGTAGGTTAATGGTTATTTTTTCCTGTAGTAATTCAGCGTAAGCGAGTCTTAGTTTACTATCCTTTCTTCAGAATTTCCTAAGAACAATAGTACACTTAGAAAAAGAAAATGTAAGCGAATGTTAGTGCTGCATTGTTATCGATTTCTTTTCAGATATATCAGTATAATGGATGCAGGCCTAAACTGAAATCGCTCAATTAGGTGTAGCTGCTATAGTCAGCCGTTTATACATTTATATTATGGTAGTTACCTATGCGGTTTATTTAGTATTTAAACAGTGTGCGCAGGATGTTTATTGTATAACTATAAAATTTAGTTATATTCCTCAGGATGATTATTTTATATAATGCTGTAATTCAGTGTAATTAATGTATCATTCTGAAACTTATCAAAATATACCCACTTTTAATATCCAATCAAATCTTAGAATAAAATTATAGCAGTAAAATTCAGTTTTATTTTCGAATAAATGCGGTATTAAATTGCCAAATCTTCTGTGAATTTCAATGAAGCAACATAATTTTTAAGGAGCGTTTAGGTCAGTTCTAGTTTTAAAACACATTTTTTTTTTTTTAATTTTCATATTTTAGTAAAACTAGAGGTTCTTTTGCTGTGATGTAAGAAACAATGTTTTTATTTGATTTCGGAACCACGACGTATTAATATTTATCATTTCAGTTTAGTCAAAAATAAGAGTGATTCTTCTAATAAGAACGTCTTCACAGTTGTCAAATACAGTAGCAATAATTCCGCATTATTGTACAACATTGTACATTGTATTCGGGCTCAAAGCCTGCGAACAAGTTGCTTGCATGAAGGATTTGCGGCTTTTCGTTAATTTAACATAAATGCAGGCTTTTTTTTATTAAAGTGTCCTCCACATAGCTATCCTTCTCATTAGGCAGATACTCCTGGTGTGCTTTGTTACAATATAAAAAAATCCAATCTAGTCGAAATCGAGAATCTTTTAGGAGTCGGATTAGAATTTATTACACCTCTTATATTGCTTCGGTATAGTCAAGGAGCATCTTATAAACGATTAGTGATGATAATGATTATGTTAAAGTATTCCTTACGTCCTGTTCCTCTCTAGTGTTTGCGAATCATTGTATTTCTATCGCAGTAAAATCATTTCAGCATATCGGAGTAATTTCCATATTAATATGTAATATCGTAAGCTATATAATATGAAATCTGAAAGAGCTTTCTTTTCAGCTCCCACCTTGGTATCGAAAGATATATTTTCCGGCACATGTTTTGACATATACACAAAGCGCCATCAATCCTATCATCTACGGAGCATGTAACGAGAGTTTTCGGAAGGCTTTTCGCATCACATTTCGCTGCTTATTTCGGAAGAATCAAGTCCGTCCTGCGCCCTTCTATGTCCATTCTCCTAAGAGACAACGGCGAGTCGTCAATCACAACCACAATAATAATCAAGATTATGTAAGTTCTACCTTTACATTTTTATGACAACGTAAAATCGAAAATCATCTATAAGTTTTGATCAGCTAAATCATGTGATCACCCAGGCTTTTTTTTTATTATTAGATTTTCCTTTTTTCTACTATTTTAAAAATGTAATTACGTATGTAATTATTTGCTCTTCCATGTTATACATCCTCTGTAAATTATAAATCAAGAATTAAGAATTATGTGGAGAATTTATGAAGGACTTACTTCAACTGAACTTTTGGAGGCCCTCCTTTTAAGAACAGGATGTTTTTATTCTACGCGTACAAATTTCTCGTCTTAGAATCCAAGAATTGTTTCAGGAGCATTTTTGGACGCGATCTTCGAGAGCTCATTAATCCGATTCTGCTAAGATAAATAATATTGTTTTCTGAATTTGATTATAATTTTAAATTAAGATTTGAGCATTTTGAGTTACACAGAGTTTGTATACTACTACTTCTAAAAGGCTTAATACTTTGCATAATGCACATTATGCTTAATATTTCAATGAAACGTATTCTTACCATATACTTTATGCAAAATGAGTAAATAAACAGTCTACAGGCAGTGCAGTTTAGGTGTTTGACTGGTAGGTATCACCAATAGGTCACAGGCGAAAACTTCGCGGCAAAAACAAAACATCGTGGACGAAAACGTCGCGGAGAAAACATCGCAAGGCGAAAACGTCGAGGTACAAAACATCGAAGGAGAAAATAAAGCAAGGAGAAAACATCGTTGGAGAAAATAAAGCAAAGAGAAAAATCGCAGTTCTAAAACGTCGTACAAAATATCGTTGTCGAAAAAAACAGCGGTTCAAAAACTTCGCAGTTTAAAAACATCCGATAACATCGCAGACATGCGTTTTTTCAGGCTTTAATAATTGTAAATGGATATTCGCATAATGATTTGATACGCAGGATGAAAAGAAGGATAATTTTTACTTTCTTTTTTTATTAACTAATAAATTTTTAAAAAGTAGAACAAGAAATTTAAACAAAACAAGAAATAATTTTTGCTGTAACTGTATCAGATTAACAAAAGTGAAGAAAATAATCTCATAATTAACTTAGCAGTTTTTTCATAGATAAGATCATGCAGTTACTTATCTTCCTTTTCTACTCTGGTTTAGATTATACTTTTCATGAAAAAGTACCAGTAAAACTTTATAAAAAATAATTTATTAATGACCTTTGTTAGTCAACTATGTCAGTTTAAAATTCTATTAAGTGCTATAAGTTTGTGGCGTTCCGACAGATACTTCAACTTCTATTCATGAGATGGCGCCACGTGTAAAATCCAGTTCTTAACCGGAGCAGCAAAGCGACGTCATTACTCACTCAGACTTCTCGTCAGACAACTGTACACGACGGTAGCATGAACTATGTTCCGAGCTCTGCGTTGATCTCTGCAATGTAATTTAAATTGTAATTTAGTACTTAATATATTCTTTTGTTATAGAAGATTGTGTACTCTTATTTTCTTTAATTATATCATGCATTAAGCACACGACGACCACCAAAAGTGGTGACCTTTTGACTGACTGAGCACGCTACTTGAGAATGGATTTTCAAAAACGACCCTAAGCCACGTGCATCCAAGGCATTCTGAACAACTGACTAAAATAACAACGAATATGGACATTAAACGTATGCTACAACGTACCCCTTCAATTATTTCTAGAAGTATTGATATATATTGCTTGTGTTTTTTTTTTTTTCAAAGTCGTGCATATCATCGCAAGGAGCTTCAGCAAATCATCAATGTGATCTGTTTTCCGTTCCGCTGACTTCGCCAGTCGTGCAATAATTCTTCGATCATTCAACTTTTGTGACAAATGTAATACAATAGTGATTTTCGCTAAATGTGCTACATCAGTAATTTTTCTGCAACGTGCTACGGCAAAATTCTTCCCTCAGTGTTCGAGGTAGTGAATTTCTTTCCCACGTGCTACAGGAGTGATTTCCTTTTTCCTTCGAAAGTGCCTTAGCAGTGTGAAGTGGTGATTTTGTGTGTGCGCAATACAAAATGAACGCATCATTTTTTTTTCTCAAATAAGGGTTTCTTTTCAAATGCATTTCGGTAAAATATTATTTGTGTGTGTAATTGCTGACCCTGTATTATTTGTGTGTGTATCGTTACGTAAATTTTTTCTGCATGGTTAAAATATTTATTGTTATCATGGCAAAATATCAATAGTGTATCCTCTTGCTACAATATTTGTGCTGTTAAGTGTATTAATTAAAGTGAAAATTATCTATCAGTATGTCCGACGATATTCCACCAGAGCCACAAATCACACGCGTTGCGGTGAATCCACTGCCCTTCTGGAAAAATAATCCTTCATTGTGTTTCGCTCAGATCGAAGCACAATTTTCTATCGCTCGCATTAGTGAAGATTCTACAAAATTCAACCATGTAGTTGCAGCAATTGAGTCTGATATTCTGAATTCAGTGCACGACTTAATTCTCAAAACACCTGATTGTGATAAATACTCCAAACTGAAACAGCGGCTCATTGAAATCTATTCAGAAAGTGAATCTTCAAAAATACGTACTTTACTACAAGGACTTGAACTTGGAGATCAGCGACCTTCATACTTGCTGTCACGAATGCGTGATCTGGCAGGAAGCCATTTTAGTGACGACTTGTTGAAGTCACTATGGCTTTCGCGTCTCCCTAATAACATACAAATAATTCTCGCTGCTTCCAATGAAGATCTAACCCGTTTAGCAGCAATGGCTAACAAAATTAATGAACTTGTTACTCCAGCTTATGACAGTGCTGCTAATGCTGCACCTTCCAGTTCATCCCTCGAACAACAAGTGGCTGAATTAACCAAAAAAAGTATCTGAACTCTCTACAAGTCTTCATGCTTCACGGAGATACAATCGATCAAATCAGGGCCCACGTAATAAATTTCGTGCCCGAAGCAGGAGTCCATCTCGTCTTAATAGTCGAACGCAGTACAAAGAACCCACAAGTGGCATATGTTTTGATCATATGAATTTTGGCGCTCAAGCTCGCAAGTGTGCCCCTCCATGCACTTTTGAACAAGCGGGAAACTAAATGGGCGGTCTTCTGCTGGCCAACAGAATGTCCGCCACATCGACAGAATAGTACTGGCTGATCGTTCAACTCAGTTATGTTTTCTAGTAGATACTGGAGCTGACATATCAGTGCTCCCGAGAACTAAAACAAATGCTCACCAACTTAATAAAACTTGTACTGTATGCAGCCAATGGTACCCAAATTGCAACCTACGGCACCAAACTATTGACACTTGATTTAAACTTGCGCCGGACTTTCAACTGGCCTTTCATTATTGCGGATGTCAACTCAAGCAATTATTGGTGTCGACTTTCTTGACACATTTTCCACCTTCTAGTGGATGTCAAGAATAATTGCTTAAATTGATGCTACAACTCAGCTGACATCACAAGGGCCAAGCTTCTCACATATCGAACGTACCTACCAACATAAGTGTTGTATCGGGCAGCACACAGGTTTCATCAATCGTTATTAGCAGAATTCCCTGACATTTCAAATCCCATCTCAAATCCAGGGCAGCATACTCATCAACTACAGAAGTGTATCATCACATTGAAACACATGGCCCACCTGTATTCTCCAAGCCTCGTCGTCTTTTCTCCAGAGATGCTAAAGGCTGCTCCGCAAAGAATTTGAAATTCATGCTAGCACAGGGAACTCATTCGCCCATTCATCTAAAAGCGTCCATGGGCCAGTAGTCTACTTCACATGGTTAAAAAGTCTAATGGTGACTGGCGGCCTTGTGGAGATTACTCGTCGACTTAATGCCGTCACAGTCCCCGACAGATATCCAGTCCCACATATCCAAGACTGTACCCATCTTTTTCATGGAACAACATATATTTTCTACCCTCGATCTTTGCCAAGAGCATGAACATCAGATCCCAGTGCATATGCTGAAGATGTGCCCAAGACCGCAGTGACTACACCATTTGGTCTCTTTGAGTACTTATATATGCCATTTGGCCTTCGCAATGCTGGCCAAACATTTCAGCGTTTCATACACCAAGTACTGTCATACACCAAGTACTGATCCAACAACTTCGATTTCTGCATCGCATATTTTGATGATATCCTGGTTGCATCTACAGATGCGGAGGAACATTTTCAACATCTGCGTCAGATTTTCACTCGCCTTAAAGATCATGGATTAAAACTAAATCCATCCAAATATGTACTTGGTCAATCCTCAGTTTCCTTTCTTGGATGTCTTATCACCCAGAATGGAGTCAAACCTTTACCGGTAAGAGTCAAAGCAATTAACGACCTATCTCAGCCCAAAACCATCTCTGAACTGAAGCGTTTCCTAGCAATGTTAAATTTCTACCGACGCTTTCTGCCAAATGCCGCAAAAACACAAGCCTGCCTACATGAGTTTCTGAAAAATAGCAAAAAAAAAAAAAAAAAAAAAAAACGATCAACGAGCTGTCCCTTGGACTGAATCTGCATCTGCAGCATTCGTGCAATGCAAACACGATTTGGCAAATGCAGCCACACTTTCTTATCACTCACCTAGTGATCAGCTCTCTATAATGGTAGATGCATCTGACACGGCCATAGGAGCAGTGCTTCAAGCCCATACCACTAAAGGACTTTCCCGCAATGGCATTCTTCTCCAGAAAACTTTACTACTGCAGAAAGGAAATACAGCACATATGACAGGGAGCTACTTGCTGTGTACTGTGCTGTTAAATACTTCCGGCACAACTTGGAAGGACACATTGATCATTTTCACCGATCATCGACCATTAACCTTCGCTTTTAGAAAAAACTCTGACTCATGTTCTCCTCGTCAGCTTCGACATCTGGATTTCATCGCCCAGTTTAGTACAGATATCAGTTATGTCTCTGGTACTGATAATTGTGTCGCTGATGCCTTGTCTCGGGTAAACAATATCAACCTCACTACCCCAGATTTCTCTGAAATTGCAAAAGCTCAATT